ACCAAAGGAAAGCAGTACAAAAAGAAGACCTAAATATACTTCATTTCCACAAAATAAATGTTCATTAGTAGACACCAGCAACACTTTAAAAAATATAGCACTTGGTTGACCATAGCAACACTTTACAAAACATAGCACTTTACTTGGTTGTCCATAACAACACTTTACAAAACATAACACATTGTTATCCATAGCAATACTTAACAAAACATAAAACTTAAGCAACAAATAAAGTCTTCATTTCTTTTTCTGCTTCTTCGTTGGTTGAGATGATGAACTAGCTTGACTAAGATTGTGGTGTGATGCTGCATTTCTTTGAAGTTGTCTTGTGCTTATGGCTTTTTTGCCCATCCACCTCAAGCCGGCACTTCTTGGTTGGTAAGCACATTCCTCTGTTGAAGCTGTAGATCTCTTAGTCTTAGTTCCGGTGCTAATGACCCTTGGATTTTGTCCTCCACTCTGCCAAAGTAAAGTATAGTTAATTACAACATTACATTCAATAGAAGGAAGATACACTAATTATACATTTAGTTAGTTAACTTACTGTAAAAGAAGTGAACCCATTCCTTGCTTGAAATAACCCATAACCACTGCCTCTACCTCTTCCAACCCCTCTACCTGTTCCTCTTGCTCTTCCTCTTCCTCTACCATTTCCAGCAGTGGCAGTTCCAGCAGTGGCAGTTCCAGCAGAAGCAGTTCCAGCAGTAGCAGTTCCAGCAGTGGCATTTCCTGCAGAAGCAGTTCCAACAGTAGCATTTCCAGCTGCAGATTTTTTACTGGGGCATCCCCTCTTGTTGTGTCCACACACACCACAAAGGGAACAAGTCATCTCCATACCTCTCCTTAAAAGCTTCCCAGATTTTGGATGTTCAGTTTCTTCTCTTTTCCTATTTTTTTTGGTCTGCCAATCATGTTTCTAATAGGGGGTGGCCTGAAGATGGCCATTGTTTCATACATGGGACAGGCTGGATAAAGGTTGAATAAGCCTTCAAGTAAGTGGAATTACGATACCAATGTTCAATGTGGTGAATAGGTTCCATGTCCTTGTAATGCATGCTAGCAATGGGATGCCCTCTAACTGCCAGGCTCTACAACTACAGGTCATATTCACTAAGGATACCACATGCTTGTATTTAGGATCTTCAATCTCATAGCCTGTTTCACCATTCCATCTTGGAGTACACTTCATAGACTTAGCTAAATTATCCTGGTAAATCTTCATTTCTATTAGGGAGATATCACATATCCATGTCTCACAGAACTCTCTCATCTTACCTATCCTAATCATCAGCTTAATTCTGATATCCTCTAACATTGTGATGATTGTTTTGTGTCTTTCAGCCAAAATCCAGGAATTGAAAGTCTCACACATATTGTTGTCAATTACATCACACTTCCTATCACAGTTGAAATAAGCTCTGCACCAGGTTTCTTTTCTATAGTGGAGTAAACTTTCACATATGCCATCCCCAAGCTTGTCTAGCATACCAAGTTGGTCATTCAATTCTGCAATACTAGAAGCCCTTGCACATCTCCAGAAAGTATTTCTCCTCTCTAACCCTCTCCACTCTTTTGACCAATTTGCAAGGATGTGCCTAGCACACATCCTGTGTTCACACTCAGGGAACAAGTCTCTTACAACATTAATTAAACCCTGCAGCATTCACTCAAGTCAATGAAGGAGAACATAAACTAAAGGATTGAAGCAGAACAATAAAAAGAGAATGACTGAAGGCAGAACAATAAAAACAGAAAAACTGAAGCAGAACTGAACAATAGTTAATAAAGGTGAACAAATTCATAGTTAATGAAGGAGAACATAAACTAAAGGAAAATAGTTACCTTCTGCATATCAGACATCATTGTAAGGTCTCTTCCATCTTCTAAGCCCAAATCTTCACTCAAACATTTCAGAAACCATGTCCAGTTGAATGTATTCTCCACCTCTACAACTGCCCATGCAATTGGAAACATCTGATTGTTTCCATCTTTGGAGACAGCTACAAGAAGTTGTCCCTTGCAAACTCCTTTCAAGAAACATCCATCAAGGCCAATAATTCTTCTGCATCCTTCCAACCAGCCCCTTTTCGTGGCATGTAAACAAACATAGATTTTAGAGAATACCAGCTTGCCATCACCTTGATCTTCTGCTTTTACCACACAGGTACTCCCAGGATTGGTCTGCAAAATCATATCTCTATAGTCATAAAGTCTTTTGAACTCTTGATGCACATCACCAATGATTTCTTTCAATATCTTTGCTCTAGCCCTGTGGGCAGTTGATCTCCCTACATAGAGGTCCAGTTCTTGCTTTATCAATTTTCTCAACTCCCAAACTTTCATACCTGGTCGTGACATAATTCTGGTCTTGTATTTTTTTGCAAGATATCTTGAATTACACAACTTGTTCTTGTTGGTTGTATAACACTTGTACACTGGATTATATCTTTTCACCTTAATATTATTGGAACTGCCATCTTTACTAGCTGCTAGAAGCCATCCACAGTTAGGTACCATACATCTAACTCTCACCTTATGTGGCTCATTTATGTACTTCTCAATCTGCACCCTTTTTTGAATTGCATATTTGGTGACTGCTTCCCTAAACTGATCAACACTTTCAAATATCAATCCTAACTCCCAAGTGATTTTCTTGGCAGTAGGATCAAAGATCAATCTCTTCTTTTTCTTTTTTTCCTCCACTTTCTTCTTATGTTCTTCACTATCTTCACCTTCCACATCTGATGCAAAATTTTCAGCATCTGAAGAACCAAAGTATGGCTCATCAGTCCTAACTAGACCTTCATACCTATGTTGCTCACTACCTGTACGTAGCTCATCAAACCCTATGTCTACACCTGCCTTATCTATGTTTATATCACCCCTCCCTTTAGGCTTTTCACTTCTTTTTCTCCTGCTTCTCTTCACCTTCTCTCTACCTTCACCCAACTCCTCATGGATATCAGAATGGAGGTCATTCTCATCAGGAACATTTAAGTGAGCCTCATCAAAACTATCAGAAGTCTAGTCTATGTCTACTTCTCCTTCATTCCCAGCATCATCACAAACAACATCATCAGAAGTAGAAGAGTTGTATGCAGCACCATCAGAAGCATTTCCATCATCAGAGGGATTTCCATCAGAAGCAGCAGAGCTGTCTGAAGTCCAGTGTATGTCATCAGCATCTTCATTATCTACCTCTTCATCCTCTTGGACCTCTATAGGCCTTTTTGCAGAAGCCTTACTACAACTCACACTTTCCCCATTTTCAACAGGGTCATGTACTGATAAAGGGGCATCATGAGTCACATATATTTCTAGTGTATCCCCATCCTCTAACTGATTGCAAATGTCTAAAATATCCTTATCAGTCAATATATTTATCAGCTTGTCAATCCTATCCACTGGGCATATATACAGCTCAGCCACGTTAGTTAGGCCTATCTCCCTAGTGTAATCCATAAGCTCAAAGAAGGAAATCCTATCTACATCCACGTCTAAAGTCAAGGTTTGACTGCCCCCCACTAAAAGGACCAATAATTAACTCACCCCCGTGATACCACTTTAAAGTAACAATTTTAAAAGACATTGTCCCTAGAAAGAAGCAGACAACAGGTTTCAATTTCACATGCAAACAAAGAATAAAGAAATCAAGATGGACAATAAAGAAAGATATAACAGAATAAAGAAAGAAAAAGACAACACAAGCTCAAAAGACAAAGGTTTCAGTAGACAATGACAAGAGATTCCCCATAAAGATGTCTTAAACCCTAAAAATACTCCTGACGAAATACCCAAATAAACCCTAACTATTTCGACCCACCCATCTAAATCAAAACGGTTGAACAACCTTAAAATGCGAATACTAACCTGAAAAACTGAAGAAGAAACAACAATAAGCAGATGTGTTCTCGTCAGATTAGCTTCATAGCTTAGGGCTGAAGAACAGGGATTTTGAAATTGGGTTTATGTTTGTTAATCTGGTCGCGTAGTTGTTTTTAAGTAACAGGGTCGGATCTTTCTTGGGTCGGAATTAAGAAAAGGGTCGTTTTTCCATTTTAATTAAAGAATCGTTTGTTTTTTTAATTTAAATAAGCGCGTGTATACACCGCATTGAATATTAAAGAGGCTGGTCAAAAGTATTGTGTAATTGACACACTTTTGAAAGGTTTGGTGTGTAAAATGAAACCCGTGGTCAACAGGTGTGTAACAGAGATTTGGTCGTAAGTTGGATGGGTAAACTATGTATTTCGCCAAGCTTATACTATTCCATAACAAATATTAACGTGTCTTGCAAGTTGTAAATCCACGTTTGTGGTCCTATTCCCTCTTCGTTACAACAATGATTTACAGGCTTATAACAATATCTCCAAAATATCAGCATTTTTTCAGCGAATTTTTTGTTATTTATCTACACTTACTTTTTACCTGAAAATAAATATAAATTCGAAATTAAAGATATAAACATACTAACAATTTGCTATAATTAATAATAAAATTTTATATGCAAAACCTTCATAAATTGGGAAAAAGTTTAAAATGAAATTCAAAAAAATCAATTGCTTACGCTCAAATTTAATTTATATCAAATTCGAAGCATAATAGTGGATATAATCATGATTCAATAGAATTTGCCTCCATAACAATCAAAACTACTCATATTTGCCATTTTTTTAACTTTTGGTCACACTTGATGTTAACAGAAACGAAAACTTTCAAACAACAAATTTCAACAAATTTTTTCAATTTCTATGTATTATAAGACTAATTTGTCCTGTATCATCTTATCTTGCCGTTATTGTTATTTTTGTGCTTCTTTTTTATTTTTATCTAGAGCCAGAAATGTATTGAAAACAACTCTCAAACAACATTTTGTAGGATTATACTGAATTTATTATTGTTGTATAAGAATATATTATAACCCAGGATAAAGTTGCTTAATTTCAAATAATAAAAAGACAAATCATGACCCTTTTTCACTTAATATGAGTCGGAAGACTCCTAATCCAAATATTCTTCTAAAAAAGTAAACAAGTAAACAGTTTCCTACTCCAAATGCAAACTGATATTTCTCTCTTTCCTGCAAAACCCCACAGGTCCCAGCCCTATTTAATAATCTTTTTCCATCCTCCTTCTCATCACGTACGTTGTAATTCTCCTTTAATTTATGTAAGTTTTATAGATGTTAACTGTTGCATTAGTATTCCTGCTTATTATTCTTGCTCAGATCAATGGCTTTTTTAAATTATTACTATCTTTTTGAAGTTAATTTTTTTCCGACAACCCAGTACAGTTTTATTCTTGTATAATGTAAAAAAAAAGAAGTTTTTTGAAGCTTAATGAGTTTTATTATTATACGATCGTGTATGATCAACTGTTTTTTTGACAGGTACAATTTTTATTCCATTAGTGTATTTATGCAAAAAAAAAAAAAAAAATTTAAAATTTTTGTTTTTGAGGCTGGGATTGTAGTATTGTACAACTCAGGGAGTGCAAATTATAGAGGTTGAGAAAAGAATAAAGAAGGAAAAAGGCCCTGCAATATTCACTTGTGCTACTGGATTTTTTGTCTTTTCTAACCAATATTTTAAGTATTATTTGGTAGAAGTAGAACAGAATGATTTACGCGATCCTAGGCAGGAAACCAAAAAACTATCAAGAGTTGTGGTGAGATGGATAAAATCTCTCCACCCTTAATCAGATGTCTTAGGTTTGAACCCGAGAATGGAAAAATCCGGGCGCGAATTTGGATTAGTCAGGGCCCAGTGCGGGTACCAGACATTGGGTGAGAAATAAAAAAAAATAAAAAAATAACAAGAATGATTTGAATCTTTAAAGGAATTTTTTTAATATGTAATTCATGTTCTTGATATCACTTTCATGGATTCTAGTTCTATAAGTGAATCAGTTTGGTAATTTAAGCTACTGAGTGTTGTCCGTTGGAGCGGATGTAGAATGGACCTTCTAGCTTTGACTCTAACCCTATATAAGTACAAATGATTAATCTCGAACCCATAAAGTTCAAATCAAATCCTGAATCCCCCTCTGTTGTCCATTACTTGATGGTTGATTCACTGACTTTAAATAACTGAGTGTAGTTTCTTTACTTGATGGAACTAGGCTGAAATCCTTTCATGTGTCAATTACTAGTTGGCCAGTACAATAGGGTAAGTGTCTTATTCATAATTAACCAGGATAATTCCTTTCTTCATTAGTTTTTCCTCCCATAGAAGTCACTATATTGTTAGTGTAATGGAAGTAATTAGGAAGAACAATGTGTAGCGACCAGTAGGAAGAACCACTTGAGGGTGTTTAGCGTATTGTAGTGAAAACACCTTTTTTTTTTTTAAATTTTAAAAAAAATATTTTGTTGTAGCATTTTCCTTTGAAGAATTTGTTTTTTCCTTTCGATGTTTTATTAACATTGCTTGTATATCCATACTGCTAGTTTTATACCTTCCTCGGCCTTTTGGCTAAGATCAAGTGTAGCATCAGTGCTTATCAGTTAAATATCAATACAGCTAGTTTTACGTTATATGTCTTTCTGATGCAGATTGATGACCATGAATGTGGTGGTGACTATCTGATAGAAAACATTATCTGTTTAGCTTTGAACTTAAGCTTGATACCTTTCTAAAACCTCTTTCTAATCCCTGTCCATGGCCACTGTTTCCCCTCTTCCCCCGTCATTTCAGCACCCAACCACTAATTCAAAGTTTAAGTCACCAATGCTTCAACCTTACTTAGAGCAACTACAAGAACAACACAAACTACAGCTTCAGCCGCAGCAACAAGATGCTGTTGAGCAGGTAGATAATGAGCCTGAGCAGAGTCCCCTTATCCAAAACCTGAGCTCATGTCCTAATCATGGTTTGATCAATCAGTCAATCTCGACTCTATACCGTGTTTCATTCAATCAAAACAGTAGCTGTTTTGCCATTGGCACTGATCGTGGCATTACAGTCTATAGCTGTGACCCTTTCAGAAAAATGTTTCAACGGTACTTTGACAATGGAGGTGGTATTGAAATTATTGAGATGCTCTTCTGCAGCAACATACTTGTCTTTGTTGGAAGTGGAGATAATCCACAATATCCTCGAAACAAGGTCATAATTTGGGATGATCATCGGAGCCGCTGCTTGGGCGAACTCTGTTTCCGGTCGGCTGTGCGTAGTGTCCGGCTTCGACGTGACTGCATCGTAGTTATACTTGAGCAGAAGATATTTATATATAATTTTGCTGACATGAAGCTCGTCCACCAGATTGAGACAATTGTAAACCCAAAGGGACTCTGTGAGATTTCACAAGCGGCTGGATCACCTGTGCTGGTGTGCCCTGGATTACGAAATGGTGAAGTTCGTGTTGAGCATTTCACTTCAAAAAGGACTAAGTTTATTTTTGCGCATGATTCTAAGACTGCATCTTTTGCACTTAGTCATGAGGGGCATGTGCTGGCAACAGCAAGTATCAAGGGTACTCTTATCCGGATTTTCAGCACACAGGATGGTACGTTATTGCAGGAGGTAAGATTTTGAATGCTGTTTAGTTCAGTCCAGGCATTGCATTTTAATTTATTACAAACCTATTGTAAGTAATAGCAGCATTTTTTGTCTTTTTATCTTTCACCAATTTATGATTAATTTCTGGACTGCAAAACTAACCTTGTAATGTACTTCATGTATTCAGCATATCTGTTTCTTTTATCTTCATTTTGTAACTCTCGTTGATCAAAACAATAATGCTTTGATTTGTCATTGTATTTGCTTAGCTGAACATGGATAGATTAGTGGCTTTGTTGGTTGAAATTCCTTGGCTTTCGTTGATACTGTCAAGTAAAACTGTCCCTGTAAACCATTTTCTATTGTCTCAAGTTTATCTATCGAGTTTTTACTCCGTGTTCCCCGTGATCCATGACTCAGAAAGCTTAGCATGTAGTTGGTACTCAGTGTGCTCTCCTTGCTCGTCTCTGCCTTGGTTTATGACAGATTGTAATTTTTAGTAACTGGAAGTGGAATTAGACTTAAGAAACGTAATGTTGTTAAATTTTGCCAAATGCCAATTCCTATTATCTTCTTTCTGTTTTTCATATTCTCGCATAATTACAAGTTTCAATTTTATTATTGTTATCCATGTTGTAGTGGTAGACATTTCAGATATAGATTGTATAGGATTGTAACATTTTGATGGTTTGCTTTTTCTACTTTGCCTGCTAATAGGTCTACTTTATCCATACACATAACCTACAAACTAGATGAGTCTTTTAACTTTCCCTTGTACCATATATACAACATTTTTGAGATATCTAGTTTTGGTAAATCACATGTGATACATGATTCAGGTGCGGAGAGGTGCTGATAGAGCAGAAATTCACAGTGTTTCATTCTCTCCGACTGCTGAGTGGCTAGCAGTCTCTAGTGACAAAGGCACTGTTCATCTTTTTAGGATCAAGCATCTTGGGAACCAGGATAAGACAAATACTCCTCCTAATTCCCGTCTTACTCTGGCGGCATCAAGTTCACCATTCTCCTTCATCAAAGGTATGGTTCCCTTCTGAACACATTTGTAGTTTTCTGATTTCTCTCTCTCTCTCTCTCTCTCTCTTTTTTTTTTTTTTTTTTCGTTTCCTTGTTTGAAAATATGCAAACGGAATTCCACCAAGAACACTAAGTTATTTGACCTTTGATTTGGATGCCTTCTGACTCTTGTTCAGCATCAGGGATGGATGTCCTGGACATGAGTTTATAGAAGAGATTATGGCAACTTATAACACGCTATTATCCTATGATAGTTAACCGTGTTAGGCTTGTTTTCTGCAGACAAATGCTCCAGACTGGTTAGCACACACGGCAACTTAACTCTCCTTTATCACACTTCATCTCGATGAATTGGCCTAAGAACTAGACAGCTTAAACTAAAATCTGATCCCACATCAGGCACTTGGCCATCCCACGCTTAAAAAATGATTCTACTATACAATCATAAATACTTATCTAAATCGCCCCTTGCTTTTAAATAGCCATAGTTGTGATGTCATTTAATATCTAAGCTTGTATCTGATGACATCAACCCTTTTTGGCCTCTTAACATCTTTATGGGGCCATCAACCCAAGTAGTGGCGAATATGACACTCGGACACCGGGTTCATCTGAACTCAGTACTTTCAGAGCGGAGCATAAATTTATGTGTAAAAATTCACTAAAATTGCAGCAAATATTAGGTCTGAAAGGTTGAATACAATGGGTTCAATACTAAATAATTTAAAGGTCGAACCCATAGAACTTAAATCGTTGCCTCTGAAACCCAAGCTCTGGAGACAGCAAACCTTTGTGACCCTTTACTGGTTCATAGAGAGTTTTTTTTTCATAGCTTGGAGGCATATATAAGATATGGTTCAAGAAAGGATAAAGAACGGTTGGGGGAAAGCAAACTCATGATTTGCTTCCTGCTGTGCAATTATGAAGTAGAAGAAATTTGTTTCTTCCTTTCTGCCGAATATAGAAGAGTTCTTTTGGTATATAACTAAACAAAGGATATGGCACTTAAATTTGCTCTTTTTCTTCCTCTCTTGCATCTCATCTTTTCACTCAAAGGCTCTCAATTTGGAGTCCTTTCTAGATTAGATTCGTATTTTGTTCATTATGAATGCTAGCTCACTCGTTGCGTTAACATTCCCGTTTGGCCGAATATATCTGATGGAACTATGTCCTAACAGCATGCAAGTCATTTTCTAATTTTCAAGCATTCCTCTGAGTTCTGCATCACTCATGCACACTTCTTATAAGAATTGAGATATCACAAGTATAAAAACCATACTTCCCTGTCCTGGACGGACATCTTACATACCCCTGAAGTCCTCCTGCACAATGTCTTTGCCTTCTTGGTCCAATTATTGCAGCCACAGATAAACAATTCTAGCCACAAGGTGGTGCTAATAGCCTAATACTTGTTAAATTGTAGCATTTTCTAATAAGTAGTATTACTCATAACTTATTTAAGCAGCCAGATATATAATTAAACAGATTGATTCTCATGAATCTGAAGACTAATTAATGAAGGATCCATTTACACAAATTTTTTCCTGACATATTTTGGCTTATTTGAGTCGCGCAGAAATTGTTGTACAGTAGTATTATTTGTAACTTATATTGGAGAATCATGAGTGGTGTTTAACTTAATGTAATAGGGTTGTGTATAATGGAGAATGGTTTTCTCTCTGCCTTTGGTGATCCACATGCTTCAATCAACTAATTTTTTCGTAAGTCAACTATGTTTACGTGGACGGTCAACATACTGCCGTCCTCTTTTATTGGACTTGGGATCGCCTATGCATTGTGATTCATTTGCATACTCATAGTATCCTGTTTTTTTTTCTCGATGGAATGGGCTTGAAAATGCTTAACATGAAGCTTTGATTCAACAACAACAACAACTACCCAGTAAAATCCCACCAGGTGGGGTCTGGGGAGGGTAATATGTACGCAGACCTTACCCCTACCCGATAGGGCAGAGAGGCTGTTTCCGATAGACCTTCGGCTCAGAAAAACGGAAATAAAAAAAAAAAGAAAACAAGAAAAGACAACTCATTAGTAACTCCAGTATAAACCGTAATAGTAACGAAAGCATAACAACCAAAAGATGAAAGACATGCAATAACAGTAACCAGTATCTAAGGCCCAGGGCTAAGATAAACAACAAGTACAGAGTGTATTCAGCATAAACTGCAAGCTATCTAAGATCAACCCTAATCCAACCCCGCCTCACCCCCGGAATGAAGTAAGGAAAGTTCTACTACCCCTAACCTACAACCCTAATGCTTGACCTCCAGACCTTCCTATCAAGGGCCATGTCCTCGGAAATCCGCAGTCGTACCATGTCCTGCCTGATCACCTCCCCCCAATACCTCTTAGGCCTCCCTCTACCTCTTCTCGTACCCACCACGGCCAACCGCTCACACCTCCTTACCGGCGCATCTAGGCTTCTCCTCTGCACGTGCCCAAACCATCTGAGCCTTGCTTCCCGCATCTTGTCATCCACAGGGGCCACACCCACCTTCTTCCGAATATTTTCATTCTTAATCTTGTCTATCCTAGTGTGCCCGCACATCCACCTCAGCATCCTCATTTCTGCTACCTTCATCCTCTGGATATGGAAGTTCTTAACCGGCCAACACTCTGCCCCATACAACATGGCCGGTCTAACCACAACTCTATAGAACTTACCTTTAAGTGGCAGTGGCACTTTCTTGTCACACAGGACTCCAGATGCAAGCCTCCATTTCATCCAGCCCGCCCCTATACGGTGAGTGACGTCCTCGTCGATCTCTCCGTCCCCCTGAATCATCGACCCAAGGTACTTGAAGCTATCTCTCTTCGGGATGACCTGTGGTCCAAGTCTCACGTCCCTGCCTACTTCCCTCGACTCAGCGTTAAACTTGCACTCCAGGTACTATGTCTTAGACCTGCTCAATTTGAAACCCTTAGACTCGAGGGTCTGTCTCCAAACCTCCAATCTCTCGTTAACACCGGCCCTCGTCTCATCAATTAGAACTATGTCATCAGCAAATAACATACACCATGGCACATCCCCTTGAATATGGTGTGTCAATGCATCCATCACCAAGGCGAATAGGAACGGGCTAAGCGCGGAACTTCTTTATTTTCTTTGCTTAATTGAGCTTCTCACCAGTCTACCTTTCTCTCTTCACCTGTATATTAACTTACCAGCTGGCACAAGTTGGCCCAATTATGTGAAAATCCGTTAAATAGTGACGCTTGAAAGTAGCTATAGTGCTCTTCTGTTTTACTTCTCTCAGGCTCTGATTTTTTTTTTTTTTTTGGCAGGAGTGCTTCCAAAATATTTTAGCTCAGAATGGTCAGTGGCGCAATTCCGGTTGCCTGGTGACTCCGAGTATATTGTCACATTTGGTCACGAAAAGAATACATTGATAATTCTTGGCTTGGATGGAAGGTAGGCCCGGTGTTATGAGAATTTCACAATTACTTATTACTTTATCTTTCTTGCATATAAATAACTATACTTCTAAGTTCTAGTAAAACGTCCATGTTGGAGGACAGAGGGAGTTAAGCACAGACCTTGCATTGTCTTTATCACGCTTTCCTTGTTTTAACGGATGAAATTGACAGAATATGTGCAATGTCTTACAGAGTTTAACTTAACCTGCCTGTTTATTGACATATATATGCATTGTACTGTTAGCAGTGCTTGTGGAGAAAACAGTTTAGACTGATGATACGCAGAAAGTGGTAGTTCAATTAGCGACTCGGTCTGGGAATAGCATGAGCTCCTCAGAGCCTGCTATATAAATAGTTAGTGAAAAAGGCAAATATGATGGTTCATCATCCTTTTTTGGGAAAAGAAAGATATATTCAATTCATTCACATAGACCTACATACCAAAAAACTGAACAAAAGGAGGGCTGCAAATATAACCACTGGTTGAGCTAAATATAAGGGATTGATTTAAGAAGTAATATATATGGTCTTCCTTACTCATCAGTGTGTACTTCTTCAACTATTATTGTGGATTTTCCAATGTTAGATTTTTGACGTGTGTAATTGACTTTTTAACTTTCCCTTCATTTGCTGGAGTTCCGCGCTCACATAATCACTTGCGAATCCATATACACATAATTCTACTATGTATAGTTTTGGACGTGTGAATGACTTTTTCAACTTTTTCCCTCATTGGCTGGAATATCTCTCGCACACAGTTACATACATTATACTTCTCTTAGTAAGATTAGCTTGGTCAAATTATTGATATGTAATCAACTTGTTATGCAGCTTTATTAGATGCAAATTTGACCCAGCCTCTGGCAAAGAGATGACTCAGTTGGAGATTCACAATTTTCTTAAGTCTGATAAGGCCTCATAATGGAACGTGGCATCGGCTTTCCTGTCTATGCAAGGGTAGTATTTGCTTCCCTTAGTTGCACCTGCTTTCCAGTCGTAGTATACACTATTGTAAATATCGTATATAGTGAGTAAAACAGTAGGTATAACCAACAGTTTTGAACTAGTTGATGTAAAGAACATCGACTTATTAATATGTTACCAAAATTGTAAAACATAATTCAGTTTAGAGCCACAAAACCGTTACTCGTAGCAAAATATGTTCTTTTTTGTTCAAGTTTGCTTCATTTCACCTTTTCTATTTCTACTATGTGCAAAGGTAGTTGATGAAATGGTTGCAAAAGTTTGAGAAAGGAAGTTCAACCAAGTGTGGATTTAGCTAAAAAACATATAACTAAGTTCATGAAAGTTTTCATTTTTAGCTTTAATGACCTTAATTTTTATATGCAATAGAAGGCAATGTAGAGGAATACTTAATTAAACACTAAATTATCAAGGTTGTAAGCCTAGAAAAAGAGGGGTTTGTGGGGGGGGGGGGGGGGGGGTTCAGTATTGGTTTTGGACACCTGTTTTTACTCGGAAAGGAAAATTTTGTACAGTTTTTGGAGACAAAAGACTTATCATAGCAAGATCAGTCTCAGTATTATTAATGATCAGTTGTTTGCATAATTTCTTCAGTATTAAACTCCAATATTCTATTCTTAAATCATTGTGATAATAATGGGATTTAAATTATATAAAATTTATCTGAAAATATTGTTGTTGTGTCTGGTGGTGAAGTGCTTGACAAGTAGTCTGCCAAGGATGAATTAGTTTTATCCTTTGTCCCTATGGTTTCTTTCTTAGTGCTTCTAGATAGTCTTCTTGACAAGGACCTTGAAGCTACTTTCTGTTTTTTTCCTTTTTAATAAGGCTAAGATTCATATTGCCATCATCTCGATAATTTCGAGTACTTGCCGCCAACAACAATATACCCAGTATTATTTCACATCGTGGGGTTTGGGCAGGGTAGTGTGTACGCAGACCTTATCCCTACCTTGTGAGGATACAGAGGCTGTTTCCAATAGACATTCGGGTACTTGCCATTTCTATCAATATAAGTGTCAGGTATCAATATCGACCACAACTTAGGTAGACATGCGAAAAAATCATGTAGCATTTTTTTGTGTGTTTTTGTTTAGGGAGCCTTGGAGCAATAATAAAATTATCTTCGTGCGATCTATAAGTTAGTGATACTTTGCGTTAGGGTAAACTGTCTACATCACATCCCTTGGGGTGCATTCCTTCTTGGATCCTATGTGTCGCGAGATGCTTTTTGGATTAGCCTGTCCCTTGTCTTATTGAAATTTGAACTCGAATCTCTATTATTTTCATCGACTTCATTGATCGCTAAGTTACATGTTTGCCGTCACCTTCCCGCTGCTTTCCCAATGATTTTTTTACCGTGTGAGTGGACACAGTCTTTGTTAAATGCGAAAAAATCATGTATCATTTTCTTGTGTTTTTGTTAGGGGAGTCTTGGAATAACGTTAAACTTATCTTCATATGATCTATAAGTTATAGGTTTGAGCCATAAAATCAACCATACTTGTGTTAGGATAAATTGTCTACTGCGATCTTTCCTCGGACCCTATGTAACACGGGATGCTTTATGTATCAGCCTACCCTTTTTTTTTATTCGAATTTGAACTCAAATCTCCTATTATTTTTATCTCACTTCATTAATCGCTAGGCCACACGTTTGCCTCACCTTCCATATACTTTCTCAATGATTGATTACCGTGTGAGTGGACAAAGTCTTCGTTAAATAACTATATAGGGGATTTGCAAGAAGATGAGGACACCTAGTGCACCCCACCCATATCTCTAACTTTTTCTTGAATATTAGAATTCACGTGCATTACTTTTATTGAGTAGCACGAAACCCTAATTGACTTGCTAGCAATTACTTGTATGACTTGACATAATTCTACAACCATAAAAATATGCAATAGGTACAATGCATGATTCAATCATAACAATATAATAAGAAGTCATACTAGTAAAACACGTGTACGCATCTATGTTATAATTAGCGGTTGAAGCAGAACTTTCATCAAGGGGATTCAAAAAAATTAGAAAAATAAACACGCAAAAAAGTTAAAAGGGATTCAACACACACACATATATATATATAAAATATTTTAACCTTATAGACAGTGGCGGAGGCAGGATTAACCCTAAGGGGTTCAAAAAGAAAAAAGTTAAAAAGGTTGTAGCTAGTGGGAATAGAACCAATGACCTTACAAAAAATTTAAACCCTCTTGACCACTAAGCTATGCTTTTAAACCATGTCAAGAGGATTCAAAACATAATATATATATATATATAAAAAAAACAGATTATGCCTTATATATACAGTGTAATGTTTCGACGAAGGGGGTTCGGGTGAACACCCTTCCGCCTTCCTAAATCCTCCCCTGCTTATAGATATAGTGTAATTTTTGGCAAAGGGGGTTTGGCTGAACCTTCTTCCGTTCATCTGGTTCTGTCAGTCGCTTGTTATAATCCTGATATGTCTGTTGTTACATATAACATAAAATATAATATGTTGTATATCGACGTGACAATACTAAATAATATATAGATCTTGAAGTATAAGGCAAGTAAAATACCAATCTTCTAAGAAACTAATCTAGTCATTTTCTCCTCCAAATAGTCTTTTGGGGCGCAAATATTGAACCATAAACTAGGATTGAATGTCAAGAAATTAAAGTAATAAACTAGTTGTAGTATATACTTATTGTCTTGTGGAATTCTAATAACTCTTATAAAATGTTGATATCCATAATTTTAATTTTTTGTTAGAAGTTACTGATGAAATTTCCAATGCAGAATGCTTCAATAAAAGAAAGAGATGTGACAAAGAATATTCTACGTATAGCTGCAATAGTCCTCAAGTCAAAATTATGGCTAGCAAAAGGGGCAAAGAGATATCCAGAGTCACCTCAAATATCGTGTTCCATGTAAAAAAATATTCACCTATTTTTTTTTTTTTTTTTTGATTGAACCTAGTTAATTAATTAAAAAATTCATATCTTTCGTCTTATTGTTTTTTCTTCATTTTTCTGCTTAACCATTAGATACCATAACTAAGATTAGGCAAAAAAAGAGAGGAAAAATATGTATCTAAAAATGATACAATAACTCAAATTAATGTGTAATTACTAGAAGCATATCTATTTTAATAAAATTTGATAAAGGGAAGGTTTATGTAAATTCAGAAATTAGAGGGAAAATCTCTCAAGTTATATCTACTCTAGGTGACCTTCACTATCTTGCTCCTAGTACGAAGGATCTCTCCTTCAAGTTACCGACTTGCTGAATTAAAATTATAATTAATTATTCGATGTATTTGGTGAACCAAAACAAATTTAATTGGTTTCATTAAATTAACTAATAATGAAAGTAGGGGTGTACATGGATCGGGTTAGTTCGCTTTTATTAAAACCAAACCAAACCATATCGGTTTGGATTGATTCGGTTTTGTCGGTTTTCGAGGTTTTCAGGGTTTTTTGTTACATGAATAATATGTCAATCTTACTTTGTTAAATTTTATAATTAAATATATGTTTAATAAAAAATTAAAAAATTGACAAACATATGATCTATTAAAATATTCTTATCGAAATTTTTGTTAGTAACATATGATAGTTATTTTTTTAGATGTCTGACAATAAATTTTCGTTGATGTTCACTTCCAAATAAACCGAATTTAATAATTAAGCATAAAAATTAATATGATCCCTAAATAATAATATGTTCTATTTAATTTTCAATTATCGAAATGCCACTTCAAATTCGAAAAAGATATAAGAATATAATAGATATTGACAAATGAATATGAAAAAATAAAGAGATTTGACGCATTTCAATAATACTTGATAAGAAAGTAATCATACAACACAATATTTAAAGTTAATAAAAATGGAGCACTTCATATTCTATTAAATATTGCATTCCATAAGAGAATTCCAAATATTTCTAAATATTTTTTAAAAGAAAATTCTATATAAGGTCTTAAAAGTATATATAAATATTAATACATTTATATGTCGGTTTGGTTCGATTATTTTTTACTCAATACCAAACCAAATCAAATCAAACCTCATCGATTTCTTAATCGGTTTGGTTTGACTTTTCGGTTTGGTGCGGTTTTCCGGTTCAGTTTGTACCCCTAGATGGAAGGATGACTACAAGATCTTTTCAACATTAATGTGAAATTATATAACATGGCGTTGGAGAATTTGGTCTCAATTCTCAGATGACACTACTAGAAATTCGGGCAAAACCGTTTAGAAAAATCGACCAAAGTTGGTCGGTATGATCACACCCAACTATGCCTTATAAAAAGGACAAGCGGACGTTGCAAGTATAATCTGAGTATTTAGCCCAGAGTCGAATCCTCAGGGAATTAACCTACCAATTACTTTTGTTAGACTCACTAAATTCTTCGTAGTCAACTTCCCAAATATTTTGAATAACAGCTGGTGATGTTTGAACTAACTATAACTGAAGAACGTTAAGTAAACTAACAGCTAACTATGATTGAGTTGTAAGCAAATAAGAGAAGGATCTAAGGTTGTGATTTCCCCTATTGATGGAATCCCTTCCTGTTTTGTTTCATATAGATTTACATAGTCGTCTCTATCGATCATGAGCACTCTTACTACCGTAAATCTCTCCCGAGTAATTACGACAATTTACTAGACGCACTCTCCCGAGTTACGCTAGCTGGCTTTTATTACAGCTCACTTTAGATCACACCCAAGGCTTCGTTATCCCTAATCCCTCCTTTAAACCCTCGGTTATTGATCCCTCATATACTTTGGGAGTGGTGTTGTTCAACAATTACCTAAATATGCACTCTCTCCCGAGTAATACATACTAAATAGGCACAGCTAATTGAGGATCCTATCAATTAACTACAACAAGAACGTAGTTAAACAAATAGAGATTAAACTGGGCAAACTATATTAACATAACACAAAGTTCATCTTTCAACAGGTTCCATAAAAATCCTAGACTAAATAATTAGCTACTCATAAACGTGTTCATCATAGCATCAAAATTCATCATAAATGATAAATACAAAAGGAAGAAAGATAGAACTCGATGTCGAATTATCCTCCTTGCCTCTTGCCTCTTCTTGCCTTCAACTCAATTGTAAAAACCTTGATAATGTCCCTTTGGGCGAGCTGAACCTCTTATAGGTTAAGTGGAATTACCCCCGAACTT